GTGTGTGTGTGTGTGTGTGTGTGTGTGTGTGTGTGTGTGTGTGTGTGTGTGTGTGTGTGTGTGTGTGTGTGTGTGTGTGTGTGTATTAATCTCTCTCTTATTTATATTTCTTATTAATCTTATTAATCTTTATTACTATTTCTATCTCATCAAAGTTACAAACTGAAACGCACTTCAGTGAGTCGAGAGGAGAGAAACGCATGCTCGCGTTTCTTTCGTCGTCTACTTTCATGCAACTCTCCGGTATGGAAGTTACGCGATAGTTCTTATCAAAGTTCTGAGAAAGTATCGACTGCCGCCAGACAATTCGTGCTCTTAGCTTCGTCAACTTTATACAGCGATCATACTTTGTACACTCTATCTGCGTTTTATCACGCGTATATATCGCTTAGTAATAATAACAATAATCATAAATTATAACAATTTACAATTCTTTTAAGAAAATAAGATATGAGAATTTAAGAGAATGAAATACATATATCAAAGTCATTTTTTTTTTATAAATCTTTTGATAAGATGATTTTAAAGTAATTTCAAAGTAAATTCGATGAGAATATTTTTTTTTTTGCTGCATATCTATAGAAGAAAAATTTTTTTAAATCTATTATTAATATTAATAAAATCTTACATATTCTTGAAATTTATAGAATATTTACAAAATATTAATGATTGTTAGAACACATGATAAATGAAGAACTAGAAGATAATTTTTTTTGGCAGAGTTTTATTTTTTTTGTTTTCCATTCTTATATCGGATTTTTATGTCTCATTTCTTTCCAAAAGACGTTACACACGTGTAACTTAATTCTCTTAATCCGTGTATTTAAGACTGTGTCGCGTCATCTTCATCTCGCGTCAATGCAATCTAAGTCACGAGCAAGTACACACACACACACACACACACACACACACACACACACACACACACACACACACACACACACATCAACACAACTAATCTCATTAATTATTTCTCAACAGGCGAGAAGCCGTCTTATTACTTGTAAGCGTAGCTTATATTATATAAGTCAGTATGTTTCTATAAACGTTAATAAAAGATTAGATCGGAAATCTTCAAAGGATTTTAATTTCGGATAGATTCTAACTTTTACATCATTTTAAATCGAATCGATGGTTGTTGTTTAAGACTTTTAATTTTATGTAAAAATTTAAATTAGCTTTACATAGAGAAATTAAAAATTATTTAAGAAGAGAAATAAAAAATATTTAAGAATATAATAAGCGACATTTATTCACAAGAAAAACGTTCGTTCCATCCATTTGTTATTAAATAATGAATTTAATAAAAGAAGCTATATCATCCGTTTTATTGTTTCGATATTAATAATAACTCTTTCTTTCTTGTTTCAGGCTAGTCGTACGCTTGCTAATGGTGAATACCTGTTGCCATGTCCGAGATGCAGCTTTCCCTGTCATGTGGATAGCGAGAAGAACGTGGGGGCCTGCTCGAGGCAGGGTTGCTCCATCGAATTCTGCATCTCATGCTCGTCGAAACCGCACGCTGGCCCGTGTAAGACACCCTTACTGGCTACCCCGACGAAACGCAACAACAAACGCCTAATCGCCGGCTCGAGACAGAGCAAACGGAATTTGCGTCGATTGTAAATCGATTCCTTTTCCTTCGGTCGAGGAGAGAAGAACTAGTCTAGTTACAGAGTTGCGTTGGCATTCTATCGAGTGGAAGAGCAAACGTACATTATAGATAAAATATATATCTTATAGACAATCAAGAGCGATTTTATAGTTTAATTTGAAAGATAAATTAATATTCTAGTGATTAATTTTCCCGGTTAATTTATGGCGAACGTTTAGAACGAAGTGGATGCTACGTGCTTGTTGCGTATAGAAATGAATTTGATTGCACATCGCAGCGATATGACACATCTTCATAGTTTGAAAAACGCCTTAAGGGCGTTTCTTCTTTCTTATAGGCAATATTAGCCTACGAGGTGGTATAAGCGTATTTAATTGCCCTAAATGCCGCTCGTGAATAATTTTTAAATGTCATAAAATCCACGAACGTCCTAATTCGTCCCGTCCCATCTACTAGTCGAAAGGATTGGATACTGAAGTATGACTTAAATCTCTCGAACGACATCGGCGGATATGTAATCGAATCTTTCTCCAATCCTCTTCCTCATCGATCCTCAGAGTAAATTCCGCCCTGAGTGATGCAACTCGGCAGTGGACAAAAGTACGAGCAAGATAGAAGGGGAGAGAATAAGAATCAAGGGGGAAAGTATCCTGAGGCACTAAAAGAAAAGGAAAAAATGCGAAAGTGGGAAGGAAGGGAGAAATGAGAAGCCATAAAGGTAACGATCGTAAAACCACATAAGGTATCGGCGAAACACTTTGCGTCGCCCGGATATTCCGCTTTTTACCGGGCGCTCTTAGCCCCTAATGAAGACGGGGAGAGAGTTGGCCAGGGGCCCGCGTTTCTTGTGACTGGGACCTGTCCGCAGAAACCGCTCTTTCTCTCATGGGAATCATAAAACACGGTAACCGTCAGAATGATCACAAATTCTGATCCGTTAAGATGAGAGCAAAACGAATTCTTATTCGTCTAATGGCTTGGTTCTGCTTATCATTTTTTTATATAAACATTAGAAACATACTGAGTTTCTATCTTTTCTGATGAATATTTCATTTCTTCTTCAACCTTGCGCAACAAGACACGAACAGTTTAAATAATCTTTTATTCTTAACAGAATATTAATACTGAATTCGCAAAAAGAGAGGAGGATGAAAATGGAATGGATTATGATAAAATCTAGTAACTATCTCGAGATATGACTTAAATTGTTTGTCACATATGATATTCATCACATAATATTCAACGATAACAAATGAGAAAAATTTAGGATGAGAAAACAAATATATGCCTTCAAATTCTCAATTTGCAGCATGTAATTTTCTCTCTTTTTGTATGTCGAGTAGACATTGTTAAAATTATATAAGAGTTCACTTTCTTTTTTCTCCGATCGAATCTGTAAATATCGTACTCTCGCTTAATTCGCTCAATAAGTATTATCGAAATTGCATAGTAATAGATGGATGCAAGTGTGCGAGAAATAACGAGTGCCAGAATAGGAAGTGAGAACAGAAAAAATGAATGATCATACAATTGGCAAGAAAATTATTATCCCGCAATAATATGAACACTTTTACGTTATTTGATAGACTAATAAAGAAAAGAAAAGGTTTTATGTGAAAGCGAGGAACTTGAAAAAAAAAATATTCTCTTTGCTTCATATTTCCTGATGTTAGAGGTCGCTACAAAGAATTCTGCACTTGTGCCATGATTAAGTTCGCGCCATAATAATTGCCATATTTTAAACACGGACATAATTATGAGGGAGAAAGAAACGAGCTTGCGTTTCGGCATCTTTTATCCTCAAATAAAATCCTCGATGGGGTGCCATATTATATCATTTCCTTTTCTTTTTTTTTTCGTTTGTGCATTTTTTAATTCAAGTCTATCTAACATTTTGATATCTTAAAAGTAGCGTTAGTTTTCATGTTTATACTCTTGTTTATACCGATATATGCGAAAAAAAGACTGCATGTAAATAATGGAGCGTGATAGTAATATATTTTATAATTCGTGTAAGCGCGAAGTAAAATCTCATGATCGATATTTTACTTGCGCTATATTTTTATCAAAACGAATAAAAATATGTTTATTATATTAGTAATGCGCAACTTGCGGCATGCATGCGGCTCACCTATAGATTTTTGTGGCTTGCCTCATTTTTGAAAATATAAAATCATATTTTCTATTTTGTACAAACGAATTAAATATTATACAACCCACAAAATTTTACCCTATTTCTGAAAATGATCCAAGGTTGCGCATCACTATATTATATAATTAACGATGTTTCTCTTCACACATTACTGTGTAGTCTTTACAAAAAAGATTTAGCCGATGATTTTTAATTATTTTAGTGAAATTTTTTTTACAACATTGGCAAATGAAACAAATTTTATCATTATTTTTTTTGCATTTAAATTTTTGTACGAATTATTGCTCTCTTATGCTCTCTAGAAAAGAAAATAGATGTAGAAGTTATTCGTTACCACAATATCCACAAGATCATTCAAGTGAAAAAGTTTTAATAATAATATCTCGATTTTTTATGCACACAGGTACTCATTAAAATTTTTTAAATTACTTATCGGATATTTTTTAAGTTTTTAAGTTTTTCATTAATTATCTAAATCAAAAGTGTTATTTGATATTTTAATTAGAAGACTCTAATACAATTATTTTACATAATTTCAAATTTATGATATATATAATATCTGAATTTATATCGATTTACAGCGCCTGCATTACTTAAGTTATAACATTTTTTATAAAAGAAAACGCATTTTTCTTTTGCTATAATTATGCTTTGCATAAATTTAGCAAGTAAAACCTGAGTCATTAATTTCAATGCCCTAATATAAGCAATAAATTCATTTAACAACAATCCATGGGCTTTAATACTCAGGAAATATTTTTTTTTGGCAGGAATATCTGATATATATATTTCTTTAATCTAAGTTACATATTTAAAAAAGAAATCTTTAGCCCCACACACACACACA